CACGGCCATTTTGCAGACAACTACCCAAAAACATCTACAGACGGTGTTGCTCCTGCAGTCAATCCAAGACCAAAAAATTCTCTCCCGACACCATCAGCAGGAAGTAGCCAGAAAGAACACATCACCCCTTGTCCTTTTATAACTATAGGGTCTGGAATGACAGAGCGGGAGCACCGTCATATGGGATAAAGACCGCCCCTTTAAGTTCCAACTCCCTTTCTAGCCTCATGCATTTCAAGGAAATCACTTCTCTTCTAACTACAAGCAGCCAGAAAGAACAGACAGCAAAACACAGATAAGACTGCTTGTGCACAGAGGGAGGTGAGGAGAAAGTCTCTTGGGTAACTGCCAAACTTCACCCTCATACAATGGGCACCAGTAAAACAGTGGGCCTTAATAAGCACATTCCTTTCCCTTCAGGTACAATAAGATAGGGAAACTAAAAGTAGACACTGGGGGGGATATGCCTGCAGCTGCAGAAATACGTATGGGAACAGACGCACAACTCTCCCTCCCAGATAAGCACAACGAAGAGACACAGAAACAGTCCAAGCCTCTGATAAACTCTCCCACCCTGAATCCTTAAAAATTCATAATCTGTAAGAGAGTGCGGCTTCTGACCTAACTTGGTTAAAAGTCTCTCCCAGGTTTGAAGTAAACCTATTGAGTGTCAAGCCACCCTTCGTGTTTCTCTCCTCTTTCTCTAATTCTTACAGTAGGTACATGTTTAGCAGCTGGTGCTACTGATGGTCAAGCAACTTGGTTGTCTTCTATGTGTCTTGCTGATGATCACATTCACAGACAGCCTTTCAAGACAGGGAAGGTAGAAATTGACATGCCTCTTAAGGACTAGCCTCAGAAGTGGTATAACATCACTTCAGCCACATTCCACTGGCCAAAGCAAGTCAAGACCAGACCAAGAGTGAAGAAATAGACTTCCCCTATCTATGGAAAGAGTAGTCAAGTTGCTTTGCAAAGGAGCATGCATATTAGGATAGGAAGTATTTGCTACAATAATTTCAGTTTACCCCAAGGAGGCATGCAGTACTTGAAGCATCTAATTTTGCTATTGCAGATGGTAACAGAAACAAAGCTACTGTAGCCAATGGTTCTGGTAATGGACTCCTAATCTCTTTCAACTTCCTAAATTTATCAGCAGCTGCAAAGATATCAGCAGACTGCAAAGCCTTAGCATGCACCAAGTTCCCTCTTAGCCTCTCTCTATTAGCCACATTCGTTTCTGAATTGGTAACAATAAACATTCTTTACATCTATGCTTTTTTAGACAACAGTAAAACTTTGCTTTATTTTTAATATATTTTGCATTGTTGTAGTGAATTTTATTCTTTTATCCAATACATTCTGAACAGTAATCCATTTTCTTCTTGGAGCCAGTGAGGCTTTTGAGATTGCCATTGTCAATCTATTCATGCCGCCTTGTAGGTGATGTGCAATTTCTCCCTGGAAGCTTTTAGAATTTTCCTTTGTCTTTGATCTTCTTAAATTGCACAATAATCTTTCTGTGGTTATATATTTTTTTATCTATACTGTTCAGCACTCTATAAGCCCTTTCAATCTAAAGTATTTTATCTTTCTTTAAAACTAGGGAATTCACAGCCATTATTTGTACAAGTATTTCCTCCCTTCTGTTTATTTTCTTCTCTCCCTTTGGGACTCTTCTTTAATGACAGTTGTCAGCTCTACTTCTAGCCTCCATGTCTTTTTACTTTATATTTTCCATCTCTTTATTCCTTCCTAATGCTTTCTGGGGCTGGAATTCAATATAATCTTCTAGTTCAATAATTAGCTCTTCATTTGTATCCACTGTGCAGTTTACTTATTAAATTTTTTATTTCAACTATTTAGTTTTCAATAACATTTCCATGTGACTTTTCCTTAAGACTGCAGTTACTAAAATCTTTTCAGCTCTTTTATATTTACAACTTATATTCATAGTTGTAAAATAACTTTTAACTAACTACAAAACTAAAAGGCTTTAAAGCATTTGATGAAATACAGTATTTATTTATGATAAAAAATCAGCAAGCTAGGAACAAAAGAATTCTTAAAATGAGAAAGGGCATCTACAATTACAAAGCTGCAGTGACCATCACACTGAGATATTGTTTCTATTAGTCACTTGTAGTTCATAGGTACAGAGGTCAAACATCCAAAATAGGTATGACCAGGCTAAAATTATGTCAGCAGGACTGAGTTCCCTCTGGAGACTCTAGGGAAGAAATCTATTTCTTTCTTTTTTCCAGCTTCAAAAAGCCACCTGCTGCACTTGCCTCGTGGTCACATTACTCTGACTTCTGTTTTCATCCCAGCTCCTTCACAGACCCTCCTGTCTCCCTCCTCTAAGGTCCCTTGTGCTAATATTTGACCACTCTGATAATCCAGGATAATCTCCCTATCTTAAAATCCTTAATTTCATCACATTTGTAAAGTCTCTTTTGCTGTGTAAGGTAACATTTACAGATATCAAAGATTAGGACATGAATATTGCTGTGGTTTGAATATGTCCCCCAAATTTCACGTGTTGGAAACGTAATCCCCAAATTCATATGTTTATGGTATTTGGAGGTGGGGCCTTTGGAAGGTAATTAAGATTAAAGTCATCAGGGTGGGGTTCCCATGATGGCACTGTGGCTTTATAAGAAGAGGAAGAGACACCTGAGCGGGCCAGCCCTTGTCCTCCCTCCATGGGATGCGCTCCACCATGTTATGATATGGTAGAAGGCCTTCACCAGATGTGGCCCCTCTACCTTTCACTTCCCAGCCTCCAAAATGGTAAGAAATAAACTTCTTTTCTTTGTAAATTACCCAGGCTGTGGTAGTCCTTTACACCAACAAAAAATTGACTAAGACAGACATCTTTGAGGGCCGTTTTCCTGTCTATCACATTCATCCTCCTACATTCACTTCCCACAACTTTCCTTTCCATGACTTTTACACTCTAAGCCAAACCTGTTCTGCATTTTCTGTGTGTACCACACTTCCTCACGCCTTCACAACTGCCAATCCTTCTACTGGAAAAGTGCTTGGCCCTCCTGGTTTTCTACCTGTGGAACTCTAAGAGACAGAACAGAATAGTGGGTAAGAGGCCTAACTCTGGAGTCAGACTGCTTGGGCTCAAATATGAGTCTGTCACTTACTAGAGACTTTTGGTAAATTGTTTGGTTTTGTTTTAACCTAGATCTAAATGCCAGATTGTAACAAACACAAGAAACAAAAAAACCAGGGAAACTGCACCACAAGGAAACAATTACACAGATCCAGAATGTGTAATGTTCCACAGGCAAAAATGACCTGGTTTGATGAACTGATGCTAAAAAAGGTGGCAGCGGTGTGTGCAGGGAAGGTGTCTATGTAGGTAGAGGTCGGGGGGTTGTTTAAAGAACACTAAAAGGGACAATAACAAACTGTGGCTGAATGCGGTGGCTCACGCCTGTAATGCCAGCACTTTGGGATGCTGAGGCGCCCAGATCATCTGAGGTTGGGAGTTCGAGACCAGCCTGACCAATATGGAGAAACCCCGCCTCTCCTAAAAATACAAAATTAGCTGGATGTGGTGGTGGGCAAGTAATCCCAGCTACTCGGGAGGCTGAGGCAAGAGAATTGCTTGAACCCAGGAGGCGGAGGCTGCAGTGAGCAGAGATTGTGCCATTGCACTCTAGCCCGGGCAACAAGAGTGAAACCCCATCTCAAAAAAAAAAAGAGAGAGACAATAACAAAATGAAAGATGTAGGCCCAAGTTTGAAAGCAGAGTTAAACAAACTAACTGTAAAAAGCTTTGGTGGGGCAGTCAGGGGAATGTGATTCTAAAACAGCTATCAAAGAGTATTAAGGACCTCTAAGTGTAATAATGACGTGGTTAAGTATTTTTTAAAAAATTTTCCTGGGATGCACACCATAAACACAGAGATACACTGAAAAATTTTATTCAGGAGTGAACTGACATATCTGAGATCTCTTCAGTAACATTCTAGGAAAAAAAAAAGTTACAGGGGAACAGATGAAACATGATTGGCAAATGGAAATTGCTGAAGCTAAATGACTAGAACAAGTCGAGTATCCCTTACCCAAAGCACTTGGGACCAGAAGTGTTTCAGGGTTTTTTGGAATTTGGAATATTAGCATTTTATTTACCAGTTCAGTATCTCTAATTGGAAAATCTGAAATCTGAAGTGCTCCAATGAGCATATCCTTTGAGCTCGTGTCAGTGTTGTTCAACGTTTTGGACTTTTGGAGCATTTCGGATTTTCAGATTAAGGATGCACAACCTGTACGTGGGAGCTGATTCTATTACACCATGTGTTTGAAATTTTCACAATGCAGATGGTCCTTGACTTACAATGGTCCAACTTACAATTTTTTTTGGCTTGTCAGGATGTAATCCCATTGTAAATTAAGGAATATCTGTACATTTACTTAAAAATATATCTCCTAGGAAGTTTTTTCCCCCCAGGTTCTGCCAGAAAGTAATTTCCTTGTCCATTTTCCTTAACAGTTTATTCACATTTTTGCCATCATAGTAATTATTATATCTAATTACGCTTATGTTATTATACTGTGCCTAAAATTTACTTCCTATTGTGTGCTTATGTGCAAGGGACTCTGCTATGTGCTGGGCACTGCATGGTGAACAAAACCGACATGGACTCTACACTAGCTTCACAGAGAGTTTTGTTTTGTTTTGTTTTGAGATGGAGTCTTGCTTTGTTGCCCAGGCTGGAGTGCAGTGGCTCAATCTTAGCTCACTAACAGCAAGTATTTTATAGTGCAGATAGGGAGACAAACACCTCCTAAGCAAACATACAATTGCAACAGCGGGAGAGAAGCCAAATGGAGTCGGTGGCAAGGGCATAATGGGGAAATTGAGGAACTTTCTCTAGAGAAGGTAATTCAGGAAGGCCTTTCAGAAAATGAAATCCTTAATCTGAGACCTGAAGGATTCCATCACACGTGAACGAATGTTTGTGTCTGCTCCTACTCACCAAATCATGCGTGGAAATTCCAGGCCAGGTGCTGTGGCTCACTCCTGTAATTCTGTTACAGGAAAGGGGTCCGATCCAGATCCCAAGAGAGAATTCTTGGATCTGGTGCAAGAAAGAATTCAGGGTGAGTCTGCAGTGCAAACTGAAAGTAAGTTTATTAAGAAAGTAAAGGAATAAAATGATGGCTACTCCATAGAACAGCTGAGGGCTGCTGGTTGCCCATTTTTATGGTTATTTTTTGATGATAAGCTAAACAAGTGGTGGATTATTCATGCCTCCCCTTTTTAGACCATATAGGGTAACATCCTGATGTTGCCATGGCATTTGTAAACTGTCATGGCACTGGTGGGAGCATAGCAGTGAGGAGGACCAGAGGTCACTCTCTTCGCCATTTTGGTTTTGGTGCGTTTTGGTTGGCTCCTTTACTGCAACCTGTTTTATCAGCAACGTCTTTATGACCTATATTTTCTGCTGACCTCCCGTTTCATCATGTGCCTTAACTGTCTGGGAATGCAGCCCAGTAAGTTTTAGCCTCATCTTACCCAGTTCCTGTTTAAGATGGAGTTGCTCTGGTTCACTAGCCTCTGACAATCCCAGCACTTTGGGAGGCCAAGGTGATCAGGTAACTTGAGGTTAGGAGTTCGAGACCAGCCTAGCCAAAATAGTGAAAACTCGTTTCTACTAAAAATACAAAAACTAGCTGGGCGTGGTGGCGGTGGCCTGTAATCCCAGCTGCTCTGGAGCCTGAGGCAGAGTGGCTTGAACCTGGGAGGGGGAGGTTGCAGTGAGCCCAGATCACACCACTGCACTCCAGCTTGAGCAAGAGTGAGACTATCTCCAGCAAAAAAAAAAAAAAAAAAAAAGTAAATTCCAAACACCCTCTTCCTTCAAGTCACTGTATTAGTAAGTTAGGAGGTGGGGCCTTTGGGAGGTAATCCAGATTAGATGGTCATGAGGATGGGGCCCTCACCATGGAGAATATAAATGTCCTTAGAGGGCCTGTCTCCTCACTTATTCAGAAACCTGGAGAAGTCCGTGGTCTGCAGCGTGGAAGAGAGTGCCCGGACCTCTCACTTCCAGCCTCTAGTCTGGAGACTTTGCCTAAGTCACCCCGTCTATGTCACTTAGTCACAGCCACCCTGAGCCCACTAGCCTGTATTGCGCTGGAGCATTTCGCATAAAAAGAAATTAATATAAAAATGACACGTGCTCATTGTGGAAAACGTGAAAAAATACCAAAAAGATCACTTTTAATTCTAATGCATAAAAATAACCACCACTTACATCTGTTTCTCCCAGTAACTTTTTTGTATGAACGAGTGTTTTTAAACTAGGGTCAGTATTAAAAGACCAGAAGTAGTTTAACATCATCTTAAATCCCCTTATCCAGGAATTAGCATTTGTATTCTCGGCCGCTGCAGAATGTTACTTTCATCCCTCAAACTTTCCGTGGCTTGGGTCTGCCCTGGTTTTGAACACTAGGTTAGGCTATAAAAAGCATCCTGGGGCTCTGGCCCATTTCTTTTTAGAGACGGGGTCTAGCTCTGTCGCTCAGGCCTGTCTGGAACTCCTGGGCTTAAGCGAAACTCCACCTGGGCCTCCCGAGTGACTGCGCCGCCACCAAGCCGGCTCCCGCCCTCTCTCTATGCGTGGCTCCGCGGGCTCCATTCTCCACACACTTGTCTGGGGGGCGCCAGGAGCCCCTCACCGGCCAGGCCGCAAACTCAGTAAGTGCAGGAGGCTGCGGACCGGTCGGCTGCGCAAAGCAGCCCCGGACACAGCCACGACGCGGCCGCCTGGCGCTTCTCTCACCCAGCCGACTGCGCAGCCGCCCTCCCTCTCACACCAAGGAGCCTTTCTGCCTTTTACTATTTTTCAAAGCGGACCTAGGCTCCTGGCTCGAGCCTGAGGGGATACAAGGCGTCACGAGGGGCGCCATCACAGCGCCAGATCGACAACTTCCGCTGAAAGCCCTGTGCCGCTCAAAGCCCCGTAGCCCACGCTTCCGGCCTCGACCGACTAGGTCATCAACAAACCCCGTGATACCTCGCTCCACCCTCAGGTCCTCCGCCCCAACGGTTCCGTGTCCTGGAACTTTCCACGTTCCTGCGCACGCGCTCTGCGACGCTTAACGTCCAGACTCCGCCCTCCTCTTGCCACGCCCCTGCCCGTCAAGGGCGCTCCCGCCCCCGTGCCGTACCTATTCTCCACTTCTTCCCGCGGGCAACCTCGCAACAGATCTCTGATTGGCTGACCCGGGAAGCCGACTTCGTGAGGCGGTGGCGACGATAGGCTGTCAGCCGGCCGACTTCCGCAGAAGGCGATTGGTCGGTACTGCTGTCCAATCGGCGGCGGGCTGTCGGATTCAAATCGGGATCGTTGGGACTGCGGTCGTTAGTCTCTGGCGAGTCGTTGCTTTGGCGGGACGTGGACGTGTCTACTGCTGCTCCCGCTTTTCGCGCTCTCTCGTTTCATTTTCGGCAGTGCGCCAGCAGGATGGCCCACAAGCAGATCTACTACTCGGACAAGTACTTCGACGAACACTACGAATACCGGTGGGCGGCTTTCTCAGACCCCGAGTCGGCTCTCTCAGCTGGGGCCCCCGCGGGCGGGGCGACCAAGGCGTAACAGGGTCGGGGAGGGGGGGGCCCGGGGTCTGGGGGGCGGAGCCCGAGGGCGAGGGCCGGAGTTTGGGGTCGCGGCCACCTGGTGCCCCGCGTAGTCGGTCATAGTTGGGTGCCTGGCGCGCCCGGCCGATTGGGCCTTTGTTCAGTGTGCGCGGAGGGTGAGGGAAGAGCGGCCACGGGGCCGCATTTAGTGCCCGGGTAGGAACCGGCGCAACTTGGGGGTCTCGGGGTCCTCGGCGACGCGGAGTGACCCTCCGGTCACTTTTTTCTCGGCCGTGGCACAAGTAATTAGGCCGCTCAGTAACTGGTCTCAGTTCCAGTTGTTTGAACCAGGCCAGGAAAACCCGCCTGGTGCCGTCCTTTTCCGTTCGCAACCGTGCCACACACTTTCCCTGTTTCTGACGGGGTGATGCAACTTTTACTAGTTTGTGGTTTAGAGTGGTAATTTTCATCTGTTAACATAGAGGAACACACTTGTCTTCTTGTTTTTGAAGTGAGTGGTATAAGTTTTGGGGGCGACCCCCCGAAAATGAGCTTGATGGGAATTCGAAAATGTTTACTGGGGATGGTGATTTGGGCCATTATGTATTAGCCGCAGTCATACAATTGAGGGCATTATTAAAGGAGTTTCATTTTAAGGCCGATTAAGAACTTAAGTGGACTTTCGGCCTTATTTTCTGCTAGTCTACACTGGCCAAATTTTGGGCTTCGAGGAACTTTTGCGTTTGAGTCCTGAAGCGATGTACCAGAACGTAGTGACTAATCGGTCAGTAAAATCAGACAGATTTTAAATGACCCTATCCCCCAATTAAACTAGACTGGGGGAAAGCGGGTAGGGACATTTAAAATTTGTTGTCCTTCTTGTGTGCGGGACACTTCATTTAGGGCGTGGCTTCAGAGACCAGTTAACCCCTTTTTCTTACTAGGTAGTGACTAGAACGCTGCGTTCTGGGATACTACCAAGATTTCGGGGAGATAAAGCCCATGCCATCGTTGGCCAAATTGTGACCTTGTTTTCTGTCTGCTGCCGTTGTAGGTTAGATTTCTATGAATGCTATTTAAGGAAGAAAGAACAAAACAGTGGGTGGTTTCTCTTTTTCTCTCCCTCGCAGCAGCATGGAGTCTGTTTTCACATGAGGAATACTGAAGATTTCTATGGGTAGTAATAATTGCACCCTTTTGTATTCCTAGCTAGAAAAATACCATGTTTTTCTGGCTGTAGGTAAATTTCAAGTAGATTGTCTTAACTTTATAGTAATAACTATACAGTTCTAATCGTGTAATATGCTGGCACAGTGTTCAATTATGTGATGCTAATCAAGAGCCATATTGAGGATATCCGATAATGAACACAATGTAAACCGTAATAACCTTACTAAAACCTGGAGAATTATTCTGAAACACATCTGGTGCCAAGTGTTTAGGATAAGGATTTAAGGGTTGGTACAAGTTTCTTTTGGGGCATAATACTGAAAGTAAGTGAAGCTATTTCTCAGATTTCTTTCTGATGGCAGTAGGTCCATTTTTTAGTTTTAACATACTCAAATGATTTGTGTGTGGTAATGAAGAAGGTTTACATATCTGAAGTGATTTATTTTAACCCAGTAAAAATTAGAGCTGGTATTAATTGGCCAAGGCACTAACCTTTATGAAACAGGATAGTAATTTCCCCAGATAATTTTAAAGGGGAAACTAGTGATAATATACCGCTAAGGCATGAGTCTAGGGTGGTTTGTATTAATATGTAATGGTGCAGCATGCAATGTAAACTTAAAAGGCTAGTATTTATTTTTCCCAGTGTGCAGTTATCTATATCTTTCTTAGATTTTTCTTAATTGCAAACTTAATTTCCTAGTCCTTTTACGTGAAGGTCTTAATGTTTCTAAGGGCATAACAGTGGGTGCCCCCACTCCCACATCATGGAAGTCTGTTTTCGCAGGAGAAAAACTGGTAATATCTCTGGGCAGGTTTACAAATTAGTAATACTTGCACTATTTTGCTCTTCAACTGAAATAAACGTTAGATTTTGGAAAAAATTTCCTTACGTGTAGTTTGAAAACTCTGTGTGGCAAAATATAGGTAGACTTTTCATATGGGCTTGATATTTTAAACAGTTTTTAAACAGTTTTCCTTTATAAAGAAACCCTGATGGAGGAGAGCCTGTTTCCGCGTTTATGGAGAAGGGTGGTAACTTCTATCTAAATAACTTGTTGGTAGATTTATGTACTCTGTAAATTTGAAAGACAAAAGGTACAAAAGCACTACATTTCTCTTTGAGAATAATCAACAATATAGAAGATAGAAATAAGATAACAGATTATTTGTAGAGCCTTAAAAGTTAGATGTTAAAGCAGCATTTAAAGAATGTGGGTGATAACTGGTAAGAATGACAAAGAATCACCATATAGTTCACTGGAATTGGTGAAAACTGCAAATTATGGTAGTAAGGTATGACTTCGTGGCCTTAAGGCAATCTAGCAACATAAAAGAATTTTTCTGAGGCTCACTTTGCCCTGCAAGTGAATTGGTACTTAACCAACCACAGACTAAAATTTAAGTTGATGACAGCTGGGTGCTTATAATGGGTTAGGGGTTCAGTTTACTGCGTCTCAGAAAGTGATGAGATTGCACCTCATTCATCGCCATCCAGCTGACTCACAGACATATCTTATACTGGTTAAAAATTTGGGTTGGTGGTTATGGATGGTTCAGTATAAAACTGTTGCTACTACTGGAGATGGTAAATATGGGGCTGAGAATTGTGACTTCTATAAAATTCTTTTTATGGTAATTGAGTAAAAGTTCTTACTCAATTTGGGGAAGGAGATTTGTCTGGCAAATCTTTGACAATGCTTTGGGATACTCTTAATGATACAGATTTGTTTTTGAGAACTCGTACAGTTGTACATATTGATGGTTTAACTTTGAAGGTTATTCCATGCTTGCCTAAGAAACTGAACAATGTAAGTTTTGGATATAGGTCAGTAAGTTAACTGGAAAACTGTGAGGTTGCACACAATGTGTATGTGCAGTTAGTGGTTTTCTGTTTTTAATTATGAACACAGTACTTGAAGTATAAAGCAACTTCTGGAGCATACAAGGACTGGTAGTTACTACAAAGCTAGTGTTGGGAAGAGGAAACCCAAATTAACTGTAACTTACATTTTTCCTTACATAAAAGTCAAATAATCTGGGACACGGATAACAGCTCTACAGTCAGGGAGTAGGCTGGGTCCTTACCTCTTGTTGCTTTACCGTTCTCAATTTACTGTTGCTTCTGTGGTCCTAGCCTCCTGCTCTGGCTCCCTGATCGTATTAATGTACATTCAACAAGAAGGAGAAAAAGAAGAGTTCAGCATGTTCTTTCCCTTTGAGAAAACTTTTCATAATAAGTTACACATTTTCTTATATCTTGTTGGCTTATGATTTGGAGGCTGGTTAACCATATGCTCAACTTATATTTTGGGGTTCTATTCCTGAAGAAGATTCAGGCAACTGGTAAACATTCTCTGGTAAGAGAAAAAGATTAATCCTAAGGAAAATGCCTTCTGTTTTTGGATTGTGCACTCTTAGCTCCCTAATTTGAACATAGGCCATCACATCAGAATTAAAGGTAGTAGACTGTAATTCTCAATATTAAAGCAACAGAGTTGCTAAAGGGACATGTATAAAGCGACAGTTGTAGAAAAGGCACTGGACTAATACTTGGCTGTATCTTTTAACAGACATGTTATGTTACCCAGAGAACTTTCCAAACAAGTACCTAAAACTCATCTGATGTCTGAAGAGGAGTGGAGGAGACTTGGTGTCCAACAGAGTCTAGGCTGGGTTCATTACATGATTCATGAGCCAGGTAAGCTTTGCTATATTATAGTAGAGCAGTAATTGTTGAAATATTGGTGGTTATGGTTGTCAAAACTTTAAAAATATCATTGACATCAACTGATATCTCAAAGTAACTCTTCTGATAAGTTAGTTTTTTTAAATGACTTATTTCTTGACTCTGGAGAGAGATCCAATTTTATGGTAAAATAAAATACCACAGGAGTGAAAGTAACACATTATTCTACTTGGAAAATAATGTAAGAACTAAAAAAAGATATTTTAAAATCTGTATCGTTAACAGTATCCCAAAGCATTTTACCATAAATGTATCCTAAGACAAGTGTTCTTTTTTGTGTGTGAAAATTGATTTAATTTAAAGTGATTCACTCTTCAGCCCTTTTAAAGGATAGCTACCACATGAAGTTTAAATGAGGTAATAGCATATGAACTCAAATGTGTTTATGGGTATCTTATGCTATTATGTGCTATTAACAAAAAGTTGTTCAGGTATTAAATAGTAAACTCAAACTTTGTGAGTTTTCTAAACTAAAACAATGTGGGTTAAATTCTATTTTTGGGTTATCAGTAAATCTAACTTACAGCATTTATGTTTTGAACAAAATTTGAAGACATACTATAGAAGCTGAAGTAGGTGGAACTAAAACTATCATGCTTTCTCCTCTGCTGTTAAAGAAAAACATTGCATTGAAAACTCTGAAAGAACTCATCGCTTTCTTGGGATTGAGATACGTAATCCTATTAGAATTCAGTCCAGATAATACAAAAGCAACTGAATAACTTAAGTGCAGATTTCTGTG